GGGCGAGGTCGTGGTCGAGGAAGAGGTCGTGGCAATTTTAATCGAAACCAAAGCCATAATCAGAACCATAATTCTGGTCGTGGACAAGGTAATAATCGTGGTCGTGGCCAGAAAAGAAATAATTACCAATATTCACAAAGAAACAATGTCCACACACAAGATAAGGCCAAAGTGGCAAGGCATGACACTGGGACATCACAAAAATCTGATGGTTCATGTTATAGATGTGGTAGCACAGGCCATTGGTCAAGGACCTGTCGCACACCTGCACATCTTTGTCAACTTTATCAAGAGTCCATTAAAGGAAAAGGAAAAGAAGCAAACCATTGATAATGTTGAATTCACTCCGCTAAATGTTGCTGATTTCTGCAATGACATGGAAGACATAAACTAAAAAAAAAATCTATTATTGTTCTAGTAAAACTGTTTTTCCTTCGTTTGTTTTTCATGTAATGTCTTTCCTACAATAAATGAACTTTCTTTTAATAATAATTATGATTATGTTTATTCACTTATTATTCCTTTTATATGTGAAGTTTAATATGAGTCCAACTGGAGCACAACACCAAGAAAAGATTGGAGATCTTTGTATAGCAGATAGTGGTAGTACACATACTATTCTGAAATCAAAGAAATATTTTTTAGAATTAGTACCAACAAAAACAGTCATACATACAAAATCAGGTCCTGCAGACTTGATAGAGGGAACCGGGAAAGCCCATTTTATATTACCAAATGGTACAAGCTTTTGTATAGAAAATGCCTTATTTTCTCCAAAGTCTAATAGAAACTTATTAAGTTTCAATGACATATATTTCAAAGGTTATGACACAAAAACTGTGACCATTGAAAATAAGAAATATATGTATATTATAGACAAAAACCATGTGCTTGAAAAACTACCAACACTTGATTCTGGTCTGCATTATACATATATACATATGATTGAATCAAATATGGTAGTAGAAGGAAAACATTGTGATCCTGGGACATTCAGTTTATGGCATGATAGGTTGGGCCACCCAGGATTAACAATGATGCGAAGGATAATTGAGAATACACACGGGCATCCACTGAAGAACCAAAAGTTCCCTCAATCCAATAGCATAAAACCATGTACATCTTGTTCCCTTGGAAAGTTAATTATAAAACATTCTCCAATGAAAGTTGAAAGGGAGTCACCTAGATTTCTAGAAAGAATTCAAGGTGATATATGTGGACCGATTCACCCACCATCTGGACCATTTAGATACTTTATGGTCTTAATAGATGCATCCAGCAAATGGTCTCATGTTTGCCTATTATCAACTCGTAATATGGCATTTGCAAAGTTTCTTGCCCAAATTATTAAATTAAGGGCACATTTCCCTGATTATACTATCAAAAGAGTGAGACTTGATAATGCTGGTGAATTTACTTCACAAGCATTTAATGACTATTGTATGTCTGTAGGAATTGTTGTTGAGCATCCAGTTGCTCATGTACACACACAAAATGGTTTAGCTGAATCACTGATTAAACGTCTCCAACTAATAGCTAGACCATTGATAATGAGGACTAAACTTCCTGTTTCTGTTTGGGGCCATGCAATCTTACATGCTAGATCATTGATATGCATGAGACCAAGTTCATATCATGTATATTCTCCACTACAACTTGCTTTCGGTCAAGAGCCAAATATATCCCATTTGAGAATTTTTGGGTGTGTAGTATATGTCCCTATTGCACCACCTCAACGGACAAAAATGGGTCCTCAAAGAAGGTTGGGAATATATGTTGGTTATGAGTCAGTCTCTATTATAAGATATCTTGAACCATTAACATGTGATGTTTTCACAGCACGCCTAGCAGATTGTCAGATGTGTCATGGCATGAGCCTACTTTATCATATCTTGACCCTCGCACAAAGCAATGTGACATGGAAGTTCAAAAGATAATGCATTTCCAAGAAATGGCAAATCAATTACCTAATGCATTTACTGACACAAAAAGGGTGACTAAATCATATATACCAGCTGTCAATGTTCCAGCTCGAATTGACATTACACAAGGACAATCTAATGATAAAGTCACTCAAGAGTCTAAAACACGTCTGAAGCGTGGAAGGCCATTTGGTTCTAAGGATAAGAACCCACGAAAAAGAAGAGGAGTAGAAAATGCACTAGATCACGATGAAAGTGTTCCTGGAGAAACACGAATTATTCAAATTCCCCCAGGAAAGGAGGATGATGCATTAAATCATGGTCAGACAAATAGAATATGTGACCAAAATGAAACTGACAATATAGGTGCAATATTTTCTTATTTAGTTGCATGTGATATTATGAATGATGATCCTGAACCACAATCTGTCATTAAATGTCAAAGAAGAAATGATTGGGCTAAATGGAAGGAAGCTATGCAAGTTGAATTCAATTCTCTTAACAAGAGAAGGGTTTTTGGGAACATTATCCTCACACCTGAAGTTGTGAAACCATTAGGATATAGATGGATCTTCGTACGATAAAAAATGAGAAAGACGAAATTGTAAGATACAAGGCCAGGCTTGTTGCTCAAGGTTTCTCTCAATGACCTGGAATTGATTATGAAGAAACTTATTCACCGGTAATGGATGCAACCACTTTCAGATATTTAATCAGCTTGGCAGTATCTAAAAATTTAGAGATGCGTCTTATGGATGTTGTTACAGCTTACTTGTATGGATCACTTGATAGTGATATCTATATGAAAATCCCTGAAGGATTTAAAATGCCTGAAGCGTTAAGTGCAAAACCCAAAGAAATGTATTCTATAAAATTACAAAGATCTTTGTATGGGTTAAAGCAATCTGGACGCATGTGGTACAATCGTTTAAGCGATTATTTGACAAGTAAAGGTTATAAAAATAACACTATTTGTCCATGTGTATTTATTAAGAAAACAACATCTGGATATGTGATCATAGCAGTCTATGTTGATGATCTAAACATCATTGGAACGAATAAAGAAATCCTTGAAGTGATTGAACTTTTAAAGAAAGAATTTGAAATGAAAGATCTTGGAAAAACCAAATATTGTCTTGGTTTACAGATTGAGCATATGCCTAACGGAATACTTGTGCATCAATCAAATTACACAGAAAGAGTCTTGAAACGTTTCAATATGGAAAATGCAAATCCTTTAAGCACTCCAATGGTTGTTAGATCATTAAATATTGACAAGGATCCATTTCGTCCATGCGAAGAAAATGAAGAAGTCTTTGGTTCAGAAGTACCATATCTAAATGCAATTGGAGCTCTTATGTATCTTACCAATTGTACTAGACCTGACATTTCTTTCGCTGTAAACTTGCTAGCAAGATTTAGTTCAGCCCCAACAAAAAGACATTGGAATGGAATCAAACATATTTTTCGATACCTTCGACGAACTAGTGATTTAGGGTTATTTTACCCTAACAATTCAAAACAAGGCTTGATTGGTTATGCAGATGCAGGTTATTTGTCTGATCCTCATAAAGCTAGATCTCAAACTGGATATGTATTCATGAATGGAGGTACTGCAATTTCCTGGCGTTCTCAAAAGCAAACACTTGTTGCCACATCCTCAAATCATGCTGAAGTAATTGCACTAAATGAAGCTAGTAGAGAATGTACATGGTTAAGATCGATGACACAACTAGTTTTAACTTCATGTGGACTTGAAAAGGATATACGTCCAACTTTAATTTATGAAGATAACTCAGCATGTGTCACTCAAATGAAAGAGGGGTATATCAAGAGCGACAGGACAAAACATATACCTCCAAAGTTTTTTTAGTACACTCAAGAGCTTATAAAGAACCATCAAGTTGAAATCAAATATGTTCAATCCAGTAACAATGCAGCATACCTTTTTACGAAGGCACTTCCTACTGCAATCTTCAGGAAACATGTCCATGGCATCAGAATGCGGCATGTGCATAGAATATAATGTGACGGATGTCTAAATAAGGGGGAGTCAACTATACACTGCACTCTTTTTCCCTTCGCTAAAGTTTTTTTCCCACTGGGTTTTCCTTAGCAAGGTTTTTAATGAGGCAGTATGTCAAAGTTGAATGCTAAAATGATGTCATCCAAGGGGGAGTGTTGTAAATAATTGGTGGTGTTGTAAATAATTGGTGGATGACATAATAATTGGTGCATGGTAAATTTGTCAACATTTCTAACTAGTTACAATTATATGTTAGTAAAATTTGTAGTATAAATACCCCTCCATTGTAAAGAATGAAACACACCAAAAGTTATAAGAGATATAAATTTCATATTCTCTCTAAATATTCTTTCTTCTCAATTAAAGTTCTTATCAAAGTTTACTAGTTTGGTTTGATTTATAGTTACATTAAATACGCTTAATTCATAACATAATCATAAATGAATAGAATAATTTCTATTCCTTCCAAGTTGTTGAAGATGTTCATTCATCCTTCGTCATTACAATCTTTTAGGTCATCCGTATTTACTCGACCCATCTATAAGAAATCAAAGAAATTTTTTGTATTATTGTCAAAAAAGTGTTTAACTCATTAACCACATACACTTTTAATCAAAAATTAATAAAGAACGATTATAATCATCGACAAGAAATAAATCTATATTAAAAAACAAACAAAAAAACAAATATGCACAAATGAATAAATCACATTCCAAATGCCTCTTATAGACTCAAGAAGTAAACCTCCTTAACGATTATACTAAAAAAATATTGCATTCTTCATCTTCTTCCTATTCATTTCAAGCAACAAAACAACAACAAAATCTATTGATTAAGCTCATCAATTTCTGTTAAAAAGCAAACCCAAAAACCCACCTCAAACTCCACAAATTTCAGTCAAAACAGAAGATAAAAAAGGGAATCAAACAAACACCCACTTGAGCCTATCGAGTTCTGCCAAATCAAACAAGAACAAAAAAAAGGAACCCTTACCTGTTGTTGAATCGGTGCTGCCCTTCTCGATCACCAAACAACCAAATGTCGAAGCTTTGTCACCGGAAACCAATGGCAGACCTCACATCCCGCTGCTTCCATTCTTTTTTCTTCTTCTCTTCGATCCAGCCAAGCACCAAAGGTGCCCCATCTTCAACCCCCGATCGCAAATTTCATTCAAAAACCCAAAAACCCACCTCAAACTCCACAAATTTCAGTCAAAACAGAAGATAAAAAAGGGAATCAAACAAACACCCACTTGATCCTATCGAGTTCTGCCAAATCAAACAAGAACAAAAAAAGGAACCCTTACCTGTTGTTGAATCGGTGCTGCCCTTCTCGATCACCAAACAACCAAATGTCAAAGCTTTGTCACCGGAAACCAATGGCAGACCCCACATCCCGCTGCTTCCATTCTCTTTTCTTCTTCTCTTCGATCCAGCCAAGCACCAAAGGTGCCCCATCTTCAACCCCCGATCGCATTGTTGCATCCACCGAGACCGATGACCCACCCCTCGCTGCCTCCTACTTTCCTCCTCTTCAACCTCATCGACCCCGGAGACGCTCCCCTCGATGAACGAAAACAGTAAACGAAAACAGTGGTGAAGAAGGTGGGGGTGTGCGGCCGGTTTTTTCAAAATAATTAGATTATTGTTTTCTAAATAAGTAGAGAGAGAGAGAGAGAGATAGAGAAATTATAGGAATTTCTATTTAATTAAATTATATGGATTTCCTATTATACCCTTCTTGCCATTTCAAAGTTACATATTTAGCACATCAGTTTTATAAATATTCATAAATGGTCCAGTTAATAATAGTCATAGACCTAATTATTTACAAGGTTGTGATCTGTTCTCGCGTTCTCAACCTTTTAGGTGTTCTCATTTGATCCTACTCCTATATATATATATATATATATATATATATATATATATATATATATATATATATATATATATATATATAGGGCTAGGTTATAATGTGGATGGACAACTATTGTGCAGATGTGTGGACAGTGCTATTCTACGAGAATTACTAACATAATATGTTTTTTAGTAATTTGAATGCGTTCAACCTTACACAACTATCATCATATTCGTGCATTCCCACCAATTCTTATTCATTTTTGTTCTCACACATCGTTTTTCACTCATTTTCATTCTTACAGAATACAAGTGAATAAACATTCTGACAGAATGTGAATAATAATAACAAGTCTATAATAACCTTATAGACGATTTAATGTGTGATAATGACAACAGTTATGTAAGATTGAACGTATTCATATTATTAAACAACACATTTTTTTTGTCATTCTCACAAAATAGCATTGTCCACACGTCCGCACAATAGATGTCAATCCACATTTGAACCTTACTCTCTCTCTCTCTCTCTCTCTCTCTCTCTCTCTCTCTATATATATATATATATATATATATATATATATATATATATATATATATATATATATATATATATATATATATATATAATAAATGAAAACATGGTGAGAAGGTAAGAAGGAATATTAGTGATTTTAAATTGATGGGAGTTATATAAGTTGTCTATTTAAATTAAATAGACACATTAATTTGGGAATTTAATATGTCCATCGGTTACAAACACAAAATAGGTGGTTGTGGTTTTTTTTTTCGCCGTGTTCTTTTTTTTAGCAAAAAACTAAGAAGGCATTTTAATGTGAAAAAGACTGAATAAATTTGGATGAACGGAGAATAACTAATTTATTACAACTATTATTATTTTTTTGTAAATTAAATAAAGTACATCCATAGGGACACTCACTATTTCTTCATAATTATTATTGTTTCATTTATATTTTGAATCATATTTATAAAATTATATAAAAAATAAGCATGATTCAAACTAGATAAAACTAATTCAAGGTTTTATAAACCATAAAGCTTTTACGAAAACGAATCATGATTCAAACCGTACAAAAATAAAATATATTTTTTATTAATGAATCATATACGAATTGAATCATAATCCAAACTGTAAAAAAAGTGAATCAGTTCAAACTGTACAAAAATGAATCAGTCTTTTTATTCATGATTGATATAACAAGATTGAATCATATAAGAACTGAATCATGATCCAAACTGTACAAATGAACTGAATAAATGATCCAAATTGATTCATATAAAAATGAAATGATTTTTTTTTATTAATGATACATATAAGAATTGAATCACGATCCAAACTGTAAAAAATTGAATCAGTTCAAACTGTACAAAAATAAATCAGTCTTCTTAGTTTTTTGCTAAAAAAAGAACCCAGCCAAAAAACCCACAAGCATCTATTTTTTATTTGTAGCCGATGAGCATTTTTAAATTTCCAAATTAATGTGTCTTTGTTTTTTCTTATTTGTATTATTATGTCATTTGAATTAGACATTAAATGCATTAAATTAGTTTAGTGGTCCATATTTCTTCTTACCTTCCTATAAAAATTCTCATTTCTTATTTGATCTCACCATATATATATATATTATATATATATATATATATATATATATAATTAAAAGTTTAATTACTATATGTATAAGAAAAGGTCAGTCAAATTAATAGTATGTCTCATTCACGAAACTATGCTATAAAGGTGGTATAAGGAAACGGTCTATAAAATGATCGTTGAATGGGTATCATTTACACCAACCGCTCCCCTGTGTGGTGGACGATCGTTATCTGAATGGGTTCGATAGGACATAATCTCATTAAAAGTATAATGGTATAAAGTACTAGAACCTTCTTTTAAAATCTCACTCTAACTACTTTAGGAAAAATGTGAAATGTATGCTAATCCACGAAAACCCACATCATTCTTTATTAGTCATTAGTGGAGCGTGCATGGCTAACCGACACTCTCATTTGGGACTATAAGGTTGAGATGATGGAACAACTCGAAAATTATCATTATTGATGGAGCGTGTTGTGACATCCCCAATTTCACGGTCAGAAAAGACCGATTTCGTTTATGCTTTTTAAAATAAAATCAGATAAATCTTTTTAAAAGATGTTGCGGAATTGGTCCTCAAAACAAAACATGATAAAAGTTTGTCAAAACCTTTCTTTAAGAAATATATAATTTCCTTTTATATCAAAACCTCGGGATGGCATGTTCCGATACAGATCAAAAGCATAAACAAGACATTATAAGCCTTACACAGTTATTTACAACTACTGGCCTATAATCCAAAAATCACTGATTGTCATCATCCGACTATGCTCGGGGTCCACTACCTGTAATATAAAAAGCTGAGTGGGTCAGGCTTGGAAGCCTGGTGAGCATATAGGGTTTTCAACCCACAATAAATAATAAACTCTTTAAGTTTATCAATCAACAAATAATTTATTAATTTCATCAACCAAAAACAACCCTAATTGCCCGTTCCCGTTATCCTCACCTTACGTCCCTAAAACAACTATCACAAGGGACCTAGCCTAAGGATTTTCATTAGGGGTGACAACATTGTTTTCCTCAACAATTTATGTCAAACAAGACAACCAATAAGGTGACAACTTTGCTTTCCTCAGCAAATTATGTCAAACATGACAAACATCAGGGTGACAACATTGCTTTCCCTCAGCAATTTATGTCAAACAAAACAACCTAACATAAAACAACCAATAATGTGACAACATTGCTTTCCTTCAGCAATTTATGTCAAATACACAACCAAAATGGTGACAACATTGCTTTCCTCAGCAATTTATGTCAACTAAACATCGAGGTGACAACATTGCTTTTCTCTCAGCAATTTATGTCAAAAGGGTGACAACATTGCTTTTCCTCAGCAATTTATGTCAAATAAAACAAACACCGGGGTGACAACATTGCTTTCCCTCAGCAATTTATGTCAAATAGGCACGAAGTCACATCGTCGCCAAGGTTTATACAACAGGCACTACGTCACATAGTCTCCAGGGTTTATACAATAGGCACTACGTCTCATAGTCGCCAGGGTTTATCTAATAGGCACGAAGTCACATCGTCACCAGGGTTTATCTAATAGGCACTACGTCTCATAGTCACCAGAGTTTATCTAATAGGCACGAAGTCACATCGTCGCCAAGGTTTATCTAATAGGCACGAAGTCACATCGTCACCAGGGTTTATCTAATAGGCACTACGTCTCATAGTCGCCAGAGTTTATCTAATAGGCACGAAGTCACATCGTCGCCAAGGTTTATCTAATAGGCACTAAGTCCATAGTTGCCAACATACTAAATCCATAGCTACCAACGTACATCTATACTGTACTAAATTCATAGCTACCAACGTACATCTATAATGCACTAAATTCATAGCTACCAACGTACATCTATATTGTACTTCTATCCCTCATACTTTATCTACCCATGTTTTACCCAACATATTTGAAGATAAAATATATATACATTTTAAATCATTTTAAACATGTATAAAACATTCATTCAACATCCATCTCAAATAAACAAACAACATATATACACATATCACGTATTTTATATAAAATAATATATACACATATCACGTATTTTATATAAAATACTTCATATCTATGTGTAAGATGAAAGTGACTACACACTCACCTGATTTAATGAAAATCGGGCAGCAATTCGTTTCCTAAAACGATCGTTTCTAATAAAACCGGGAGTTTTATTGAGAAACCGGGCCCTACGAAAGGTCGGGCTTCAAAACCGAAAAGATAAATATTTCGGTCTTCTCGGGAATCTCGGGGCGTGTTTCGGGCTTTGGAAGAAGTACCGGGGCTTCGGGGGATGTCGGGATAGTAAAAATATGGAAAAAGGGGTGAAAATGTGTAAATTTTCTAACATTAACCGGGAAGCCTCGCAGCTACTATTTATAGTAGTGAGGTCCGGAGCTTCGGCCGAAGGAAGAAGGTGAGTCAGCGAGCCAGGTGGCAGCTTCGCAGGTGGGACACGCGTCGGATGCAGGCGTCTTACGAGCCGTCTTAGACGTCGCCTAGGATGCCAGGCGCGTCGCATGCGCAGTGGACCTCGCTTCGGACCAATCAGAGGAGGACACGGGTGCCACGCGTCGGATCTGCGAAAATGTCCGGTATTATCCACAAAATCTCGGATTTTGTGCCACAAACTTCCGAAAATCATAACGTTCGCATACGAGCTCCGTTTTTGACGTTCTTTATATGCACGCGTAGGTAAAATTACGCTCTACAACTTTCGTTTAGACTTCGTCGGCTAATTTTTACTTTAATTTTTATATTATTATTTTTAACAGACCGAGACAGGAAATCCGTTAAAAATTCATAACTTCTTTATCCGACGTCCGTTTTCATCAGACTTTTTACCGTTGTGCTACAAATGACGAGACCTTTGATTCTCGTTTAGGTCGTGTCGGCTAAAAATCACTCGATCTAAAATTCGAGTTTTTAGCTGTCTACTGCTAAGCTGAAACTTCGAAAAATCATAACTTCCTTATACGAAGTCAGATTTGGGCGTTCTTTTTA